CCTGCTTCTCTTCCATTCTTGGTCTAGGCTTTGGTTCTGGGCCAAGGTCCCACAGATCAGGCCTGTAGGAGCCAGTTGGGCAGGGAGGCTGTGGGAGTGACCGCCCTGCCCTGGGTTAGAGAGGATCTGGGACCCCTAGTAAGGTAGAAATGGAGAAAAGAGCCTTTCCACCTCAGCGACCCCTTCTGCATGTTCCTTGGGCCCCTGCAAGGCCCTCTAAGAGTCTTTGAAGCACGTCCCAAAGGCTCCTTCCATCTCATCCTTCAGTTCCTCAGCTCCTATCTTGTTCCACCTTGTTCCAGTCAAGCTGCTCAGATCCTTTCCTCTTGCAAATCTTTGCCTGCTTCTGAGAAGACCACCATTTCAGATCATCCCATATCCATCACTAGATCATCCGCTAGCCTGGAACTCTGTCATTTTTATCTCTCCAGCTCCAATAAGCACTTGGCTTACTGTAGGCGCTAGAAAAATGTCTCTACTAGGTCACTGCCTATCTCCGTTGGAGCCCACCATACCTCGTCCTTCTTCCTCCAGGAAGTAAAGAAAAGAAATCTACTTACCATCCCCTACCTCCACCCCAAGCTGCTTCCTCCCAGGTCAACTGGCACCCACAGCCCCACCCACTTGACCAAGGGAGCTCTGGATCCAGCCTGTTGGGTACCCAGCCTAGTTGGCACTCAGCTTCACACTCCTACATGGCAGCTACTCAACAGTAACTGAATCAATGGACACACTATCCTTAAACCTTACAATGGCTCTCCAGTGCCTACAAGGCAAAGTCCACAGTTAAAGAGATTTAAAGATTCCACTTTCCTCTTTGGTTTCTCTCTACCCATCTCAGGTCACTTAGTTGACTGAAAGTTCTACGCTCTTTTTCTCATTGCAAAGGCTTTTCCTCTGCCTGAATCAGATTCTTTTTTTTTCTTCAGAAAGCCTTTCCATTCTCCTCTCCAAGGTCTGGTTAGGTGTCTCTGTGCTGGGCTATCATGACATGTGTAGTAAATACTTGCTAGCCTGGAACTCTGTCATTTTTATCTCTCCAGCTCCAATAAGCACTTGGCTTACTGTAGGCGCTAGAAAAATGTCTCTACTAGGTCACTGCCTATCTCCCTTGGAGCCCACCATACCTCGTCCTTCTTCCTCCAGGAAGTAAAGAAAAGAAATCTACTTACCATCCCCTACCTCCACCCCAAGCTGCTTCCTCCCAGGTCAACTGGCACCCACAGCCCCACCCACTTGACCAAGGGAGCTCTGGATCCAGCCTGTTGGGTACCCAGCCTAGTTGGCACTCAGCTTCACACTCCTACATGGCAGCTACTCAACAGTAACTGAATCAATGGACACACTATCCTTAAACCTTACAATGGCTCTCCAGTGCCTACAAGGCAAAGTCCACAGTTAAAGAGATTTAAAGATTCCACTTTCCTCTTTGGTTTCTCTCTACCCATCTCAGGTCACTTAGTTGACTGAAAGTTCTACGCTCTTTTTCTCATTGCAAAGGCTTTTCCTCTGCCTGAATCAGATTCTTTTTTTTCTTCAGAAAGCCTTTCCATTCTCCTCTCCAAGGTCTGGTTAGGTGTCTCTGTGCTGGGCTATCATGACATGTGTAGTAAATACTTGTTATATTATCTTTTTGTGGACTATAAATTTCCTGAGAGCAGGAACCATGTTTACTGCTAAATTCCTAGAAAGTGCTCAGTAAATATTTGTTTAATCAGTTCACATAAAACAGGAAGAATGGATAAAGGAAGCACATTTCCTTGTTCATTCAGAAGAGGGAGGAAGCATGAATCTGGGTGGGGAGTCAGACAGGGGGATCGAGTGTCTTGAAAGCTGCTCAGTGAGCAGAAGCACCTGACCCAAGTGCCAGCTCCCTCAACTCCACAGAGGCCCCCAGCCCCTTCTTCACCAAGCCTGGTTAGAGATGCATGCAGTTCCCTCCCCACCGCAGTTCTGGGCCAGTGCCCAGAGCCGCGACCCCTCCCAGGCTGGCGTGGGCCTCCTTAGTGCCAGCCCTCGGTGCCTGTAGGCGCCCAGGTGGCAGCTCTGCGGGCAGCTCAATGGCTCCTCTGTTCCATTCCTGGCTCCACACCCAGCTTCAGGAAGCCCCAGCCCCCCACCCTGCACTGGGGTGCCCAGAAAAGCCACCCACGGGGCCAGGAGTCAGCAGCAGGAGCAGCAAGAGAGACACCTGCTGGGAGGCCTTGCAGGATGGGTACTCATCTTGGGCACAGAAGACCCCTCTCAGAGGCCAGGCCTGCTTTCCCAGTTGCTTCTAGGTCATCTGAGGAGGCAAAACTGCTCAGTGGGGGAAGCTGATCCTGTAGGCTTCTGACACCTTAGCCCTACCACGATTTGTGTGTGGGCCCTGTGCCCGACTCTGATGTGCTCACTGCTGTACTCTGCATCCATCAGGGCCTGGCACACAATGCGTGCCCAGTGCACATTTCCTGGAGCCTCAAAAAGCCTCCTTCTCCCCAGACTCCATCTTCTGGAGTGACACAGACTCTCAGATCCCCATTCATCCAAATTCTGACCAACCAGTACTGGCTGTGGGAGCAGGCTGTCAGGAGAATTGACAACAAAATGGGGATTGAAGACTCTGGCTCAAGAGCAGAAGGGAGGAACTGACAGGTAAGGTACTAAGACCAGGGCTGATATTGAGGCAAGCACTCTGGTAGAGTCAGAACGCTGTTGAAATGCTAAACTATTTACAAACCAGTTTGTAGGTAGCTGCTGCCCAGAGGGCCCCCTTTTCCTCATGCCTCCTGCCAACTGGATCCCCCTCCTTCCTACCATTCAGCAGGGTGCCTCCAGGAGCCAGCTCTTGTGCCTGTTCCAATTGGGCAGTGCCACTCCCAGAGCAGCTGTCAGGCTTTGACTCTCTTCTGAGGTCGCTGGCAGGCCCACCATCTGGTTCAACCTTCCACTTTGCAGTTGGGCCCTGCTATGAGACACACATACACACCCCTACCCCATGGGGCTTATGAGCCCAGGGGGAGCAAGGAGGCAGATATCACAAGATTTAACTGCAAGGCCCCCCCAAATCTACTGCTGTCCCTCTCCTCCATTTCTTTAATGGGAAGATGACAATGAATGTAAAATTCCTTAGCCCAGAGGCTGGCATGGAGTTAGTGTTCAATAAATGTTAGCCCTGATGATAATCGCTTACATTCAGGCATTAAGGCCCCAGAGTTTAGGTGCTTGTCTAGGGTGCACAGCTTGTAGCCTCACAGACAAGACCCAGGTCTCCTTGCTCTCAGCGCCTTGCCAGATTTCTCAGAAAAATTGGGAAATGTAGCATCTTCTCTCTTCTACTTGTACATTTAAAATACACGTTAGCATGTTAAATGCTCTGAGAAGTCCTACAGCAAAAAGAACAGTCTAATTTTGTTTACCATGAAATCCCTTTCCTACTGAAAGTCTGTCAGTTTGGGTAATGGTATACTATTTACCTTCCCTGAGATCAAACTTTTTGTACCCTCTGTTCCCACTTATTGAAATGCCCTTCCCAATTTTATCTGCCAGGGAAACTCCTTCATGTGAAACAAATTTGTTATTATCCTTTTCTAATTACAAAGCAATGCCATGCTTGTAAAACATTCGAACATCACAGTCAATGCTGCCAACACTTTAAAGACTCTTATAAGGTGTGTCTGTGGCTACCTTGGGATTGGGTGGCAAGTGCTGGCCTTCAACATTCAGAAATTGTGAACTCATCAGGGAATGCATCTCTCCTTCTCTAAGAGGTTCCGTCTCCTTTCTCATTAGCAAATCTTTAGTGAACATCTCTTCTCTGCTGGACTCCTCTCCATAAGTGCAAGGGTCCCCTGGCATGGTGCTGGCAGCTACTCTGAAGCCACTCCGGAGTCAGGCTGCCTGGCTGTGGACTTCGGCTCTCCTACTTACCAGCTGTGAAACCATGCAGGTGTGACTCGACATTCTGTGCTTTAGTCTCCCTACACACAACCTAGGGATAATAACTGAATTTTCCTCATGGGGTTATGGTAATGATCAACTGGTCTAATACATGTCGCCCACTTCAAAATGGTACCAGGCACAAGGTCAGTGTTCGGTAAGTGTCTGCCGTTATGTTATTAAAGATGAAAAGACCAAACTCCTAGGTCCTCCAGGAGCTCACAGTGAGAGACACAGAACAAGCTCCAAAAGATTGAAGCACTTGGAAGTGCTGTGAAGTCTCACATCTGGGATCCAGTCTCTGGAGGCACCGCAGGCTCACTGCTTGCAGGGACTGGGCCCCACCTTTGCTCTCACATAATATCACACTGGTATGGGTGTGAAGGCAACTGCAGTGGGCAGCGGGCAGCGGGTACCCCCTCCAAGCCCAGGCCCCAACCAGCTGCCCCCATCCATGGTCTATAGGGTCCCAATTGTTCCTGGCTCCCAAAGGGCGGAGCACAAGGGCTGAGGTGTCTATGAGTCACTGGCCAAGCCAACAAGCTGCAGATGTCTTCTAGAGGGAGTGAGTGCTGCAGTGAGGAGGTGGCTCTGGGTAGAGTGGACAGCCTGGCACACAATTCCACAGGCCTCAGGCCTCGGCTCTCCTCAAGGCACCAACGGCAGCACAGAGGACTAGTCCAGGCCACAAGGGGTTAAGAGGTCTAACCAGTCCATAAAGGTGTCTTAATCTGGTACCTTCTCTTCTCCCTCTATTTCCATTGGAAGACATGTATGAGATAAACAGATCAGACCTCCAGACTCTGTGGAAGTCATAACAAGGAAAATTAAAGCAAACAAGCAAACTCAAAAAAGTCAAGGACCAGGTCTTTTGGGTAGTGAGTCCCTTTTAGCACCTAGGTGTCACTTAATGATATACAAACACTCAATGTACACTGACTAAGGGAGGGCCCCTACCTGCCCTCCTAACTGCAGGACAGGCTTATTCAACTTTAGACACTGAATATCTCCTTTACTTTACTATACTTTTCCTGTATGTTTACTTGTTCTAAAATTTGAGCCTGGAGGATCCAAGTCCATGTGGATACCATCTATGAGGTATAGATATTTTTTTAAAGTTCTTAATATTTGGGGCCCTGTGAACCCCTATGAGAATCTGAGAGTTGTGAGCCTTTTTCCAGAAAAATACTCATGTACTCAAATATCTGCACAATTTCTGGCATTTCATGAACCCCAGAAGCCCCTCCATAATCTAAGAACAAGAGTCCTAGTTTCAATTCATTCAGGGTGCCTGACTGCCTTATTGTTCATGTCACCTCTCCCTCCCCCCCCCCTCTCTCTTTCTCTTTCTCTCTTTCTCTCTCTCCTTCTCTCTCTCTCTCTCTCTCTCTCTCTCTCTCCCCCACACACACACACATACACACACATATCTTGGCATGATGAAGGCAAAGGACACACTGTGCAGATGGTCGCAGGCAGCTCAAAGCTTCATCCAATCAGGGCCCCTTTCCCATCCCCATCCCCCTTTCCTAGACCAGCTTTTTTCATACTGAAGGTCTGAGAAAAGGGAGCAAAGCAAGGGAAGGCTCAGGTCTCTGACTCCTCTGGCAGAGCATGGCCTGGTGGCCAAATAGGACCCAGCACCATGATGGAGCTCTTCCTGCAGCCAGATGGCGAGACCCTGTGTGCCTGCCCAGAGCAGGGTGCAGCTCCTGCTGTTCCCACACCTGCCCTGCCAGGCCTGCCCAGATGGCCACTCTTGTACCCCTGCCAGCTGTAGCAGTGGGTCTCAGGGTGGGCCAGCAGCCAGAACCCTGCATGGGAAGAAGGCTAATGGTCCTGAGTCCCCTGGGCCTCTTGGGATTCTAAGTCCCTGTTTTCTCCTGCCCCACGCTCACTGAGTTCATTTCCCCTTAATCTGTTTGGCTTATCACAGAAGCATTTTTACCTATATCATCAAACCTCACGACCCACCCAGCACCAGTCAGTGGGCTCTAGGAGGAGAGAAATTGGCCAACCCAAGGCACACAGTCTCCATCTCACCTCAGGAAGTGACCCAAAAGCAACAAGCCAAGAGGACCTGAGGAGCTGAGAGGAGGCGGAACAGAGAATAGGGAGAAAGCAGCCACACAGAACAGAAACACCAGCTCAGCGTGGCCTCAGGGGCCAGGGCCAGGCCATTTCAACCAGGGGCAGCAACTCTGTGAGTTGCAGGCATGTGCTGACACTTGGGTTTAGGGTAAGGGGCTCAAGGATCTCATCTGGGCTCTTCCTAAGGGTCCCCAGTTCTGCTCCTAAAGGGTTAGAACTGCTCTCTCTGAATGGTGGGAGGCCCCAGGTCAGGGTCCACGGAAATAGCATCCCTGCCCCTGGGCCAGCTTGGATGGCATCCTAACGTTCTCATCACGCCCAGTAAAGAAACCACAGATTGTGTGGCTCCTGGGAGATCCGGCTAGATTTCATTCTGGTCTTTGCTGTTGACAAAGGACTCAGACACCTCTTGACCCCCAAGGTCTGAATAGCGCATAGATCACAGAGCCAATCCAGGGTGAGGCATGGATGCCCTAAGTGAGAAGAGGCTGTGGATCTCTGTGTGGTTGTGTGGGTACAGCCCTTTCCTTGGGAGGTCTCTGAGGGGGAATCTACAAGGGGAGTTTTAGTTAGGGGAACCTCTGACCCTCAAGTCACCCTGGCAATGGACGGTCATCATTCGGGATGTATTTATGCACCTCTCTTTATGCCAAGCATTCTGTCAATCGCTCAGAAGACACAGCCATGAGGAGGAAACAGTCCTTGTCCTGGAGGAGCCCACGGCTTGGTGGGCAGCCTATTAAGCCATTCCAAGATGCTGCAGAGAGGAAGAGGGCCAGGGACCACTCAGGCCCACATGCCAATGGGCAGTGGTCAGTGGGAGGAGACTAACTGGTCAATAGTAAAAACAAGGCCTAATACTTTCTCTGCCTCACTGCCACCACCACCATGAGTCACATCACCTAGCAGCAGGATGGAGAGGAGAAAGGAGAGGAGACTAAGGATGTGTAAAGAAAGCACATTCTCCTTCTGCAGGCTAAAGATCCTGGCCCAAGATGGGAGCAATGCTCCATGGCAGGAACTAGGGGAAAAATAATTCACATTCCTGAGGCTTCTGCTCTGACCCTGACATATCTCTCTTATCCAGGAAATTGGGCAGAATAGCGCTCTCTCAGCTGAAAACCTCAAACCTGGAGCCAGTGGCTTCGGACAGCAACTTTGCTCTCCAATCCAATAAAATTGTGTTCTCTGCTGAGGAGAGGGGAGTAAGCCCCAAAGCTGAGCTCCCAGGGGTGAGTGAGGAGGGACAACAGAGCCTGACTGGCCTATAGAGTCACTGTCATAGAATTTGGGGCTAGAGGGGCCTACGGATGGCTTTCAGCTGTCACGAGGAATAAGGCTGAACTGGGGTTGGGCAGGGGTTGGCTTCTCCAACAGGGCCCTCTAAGGCACAGCGGGTGTTCTCTGGAACAGTGAATGCCCGGCTCTCCTCTCTACCCCAAGCCTGCAGATCCACCAAGGCACTAGCCTCCCACTGAATGGACCCAGGGAGAGGGAGACCAAAAGAAAGGAGGAGTGGGATCAGCTGTTTAGCCCCTTCTGGGCAACAGGTTCCGAGCACTGACTGTCCCCACACCTGGGAGAAAAAGGGAAGGAGTGCAGGAGTGGGCCTGCCTGGACCTCAGAGGTCAGCATCCTTGGTGCAGAGCTGCGTATTGCCGGTTCTGGCTTCCTGAGAACAACAGTCCAGCCGCTCTAGTCCCACCGGGTGAGGCAAAGGCCAGCTCTTGCTATGTTCAAGGGGCGAAACCCCAGCCTTCGCCTCCTTCCTGGGGCTTCAGCACCTGCAAAGATGCTTGAGCTCCCAGAGGAGGAGACAAGTGGAGCTTTGAGCAGGCTCTGCCTTGTGGGGAGGGGTCAGAGATCAAAGGGGAGTGAGAGGCTGCTCCCAGAGGGCAGAAAGGCCATAAAGGGGAGGGAAGGCGGGCTAAAATCCCGTTAGAAAAAGGCCGGTTGATCCGACTCTGCGGGGCTGCGATGAGGAGAGCAGAGCCCGGGAGGGGGAGGGTCACCAAGTCCTGGGGCGATAATAGGGGACTGAGGTAGAGTTTGGGGCGCACGTCCCAAATTAGTGGGTCGAGAATCTGAACAAAGGTGGACGAAGGCTCCGAGCCCCAGGGTCTGGGACTAAGATCATGTCCGCCAGGAACCGTGACACGGAGGGGCCCGGTCCCGACCAGGCCACCTTTGTCCCTCTCGAAAGCCCTATACCTCCAACCACCTCTCCTCCTGGGTACCCCCTCCCGGTGCGGCACTCACCCTGTCGCTGCTGGCGGGAGGTCCAGACACCCGCTCCTCGGACGGTGGGGCTGGGGGGCCAGGGGTCTCGACCCGAATAAGGCGGTGGGGGGGCGAGCCGTGGCGCGGG